TAAAGTAGAGGATCAGCAAAAAAGAGGAAGACCCTCAATGAGATGGATTGACACAGTGGCTGCAACAATGGGCTCAAGCATAACGATTGTGAGGATGGCACAGGACTAGGCAGTGTTTCATTCAGTTGTACACAGGGTCGCTATGAGTGGGAACCGACTCGACGGCACCTAACAACAACAACAACAAGGGGCACAGAAGACCCTGCTGACATCTGGGCTATACAAGATTAACAATGAAATTGGCGAAGCATTAGAAAACATGGCAGAGGGTGCAACTCTGTGAAATAGTCCGCTGGGAAAGCGCAGTTCAGCCCCAGAGCAGGATGTTTCCTACCTTGTGTATGACAGAGACTACTAGTTGCATACCTTCCCACCCCACCCCAGTATCTGTCCTCCCCTTCTTCTTTAGCAACCAAATTCTGATTTTAACTGGGGAAGCAATGTGTTCAGCTAAAATACTATATTCCCAGCCTCCCTTGCAGTGAGGTGTGGTCTTGTTCTTGCCAATGAAATGTAATGAAACTAAGAGAAGTGTGGTATGGGACTCCTGGGAAGGCTGCTTAAAGGGACCTAACTCAGCTGGAAGGAGAGCCTACTTCTGCTTTTTTATTCCCTCAATCCACACTTCTTGGTTTTCTCTTCATGCCTGTAACTTGGATGTGCTGCCTGGAGCTCCAGCAGCCGTTTTGGACCATGAGGTGACTGAGAGGATGAAAACCATGTGCTGAAGATGGAAAAGCAGAAGGAGCCAGTGTCCTTGACACTGTGGGGTTGCCATACCAACTCCAGACTTCCTGCCCTCAGACTGCTTTTATGTGAGAGAGAAAAGCCAGCCTCCTGGACATTCCTCATAAATGATAAGCGTGTTCCATTCTCAGAGCACTGCACTGGCTGGTCCCTCTGTCCCCAGATATCCATCTGGCTCATTCTCTCACCTCCTTCAGCTCTCTGGCAGACAAGCACAAATAAGCTAAGGCACTAAGGCCTTCTATGACCACCCTATTTACAATAACACCCATATCCCCCAGTGTTCCATAAAACTTATCACCATCTACCATATTAGAAAGGAGCCTTGGTGGCTCAGTGGTTACGTGCTCAGCTGTTAACTGAAGAGTCAGCGGTTCGGACCCATCAGCCACTCTAAGGGAGAAAGATGTGGCAGTCAGCTTCCGTAAAGATTTACAGCCTAGGAAACCCTATGGGGTAGTTCTACTCTGATCTGTAGGGTTGCTATGAGTCGGAATCAACTCGACGCCACACAACCACCACCGCCACCATACTAGAAGTCCCTGCGTGTTGCAAACGTTTAAGCGCTTAACTACTAGCCAAAAGGTTGGTGGTTTGACCTTACCCGGATGCACCTCGGAAGACAGTCCTGGCAATCTGCTTCCGAAAAGTCACAGCCTTGAAAACCCTACAGACTTAATGGTTTGACTGAGACTGGAGAGACCCTGGAAGATGTGGCCCCCGGGCTCTCTGCTAGCCCAAAACTAAAACCATTCCCAAGGCCAACTCTTCAGACAAAGATTCGATTGGACTATGAAACATAAAATGATACTCGTGAAGAGTGTGCTTCTTAGCTCAAGTAGATACATGAGACTAAATGGGCAGCTCCTGTCCAGAGGTGAGATGAGAAGGCAGAGAGGGTCAGGAGCTGGTTGAATGGACACGGGAAATCCGGGGTGGAAAGGAGGAGTGTGCTGTCACAGAATAGGGAGAGCAAGTAGGGATACAAAACAATGTTTGTATGAGAGACTAACTTGAATTGTAAACTTTCACTTAACGCACAACAATAAAAAATAAAAAAATAAAAAAAAACACCCTACGGAACAGTTCTACTTTGCACGTATGGGGTCGCCATGAGTCAGAATTGACTCCACGCCAACTGACAACACCACACTAGCGATCTCTTCCTTGTTTATTTGTTTATTGCCTGTCTCCCTCCACTAGAATGTAAGCGTCACGAGGGCAGGGCTTTGGGTTATTCTGCTCACTGCTGCACCCCTGTGCCTAGAACAGTGCTTGGCACAGAGAAGACACTCAATAAAGACTGGGTGAGTAAATGAATGAATTGTACAAGCTGATGCAGGTCTGCATCCTCAGTCATCCTCCCAGGCCAGGGCCATCAGGCCCAAGAAGGGTCACTGAACACCCTCTCCCCCTGTGGTCCCTTAGGAACCAGGCTAGGACCGGGGCTGCCTGTCTGCAGTGGGTGGGCAGAGAGGCGACAGGCAGAGCTCACTCTCCTGACTCTGGGGGGCTCATAGGATGAGAAGAGCTAGTCCCTGGCCCCTTTCCTGCCCAGGACTCGGGGCTCTGCCCAGGGCTTATAATGGATCACCCACACCAGGCAGCCAAGTCTGCCCCTGGTGTGCCTATCCATCAGTCACCCCACGGAACATGCAATGTGTGGGTGCCATTCTTTTTTCCATTCTCCAGATGGAGTATGGATGTCTGATGAGAAAATCCACACAGACCCTCAGCCTCACTAATAAAAACGAGAAAATAAATTAAAGGATGTCTGTCACGGAGGCTGCACACGCCTGGACCCATTGGGTCAAACAGAGAACACGAGAGGAGTGGGAGGGAGGAGAAAGTGGGAACATTGCTTGGGGGCACTGAGCTGTTAAGGGTGATGGAAAAATCTGGAAACGGATGTGGTGACAGCTGCACAAGATGATGAATGTAATTAATGTCACTGAATTACACATGTGAAAAAATGCTGAAATGGCCATTTTTTGTTTGTTTGTTTTATACATATACTCACCACAATTGGAAAAAACAAAACACGAGAGGCTGTTGGTGCACTTAAACAGAACAGGGCTTACAGCCCGGCCACAGAACAATGGCTTTGTTTATTAGTGCATGAAGAACCAGGTCTTCAGCCACAGAGGGCGCCCCAGTTACCGGAGGGCTCAGGCCTTCGTTTCCAGGGCAGCCAAGCAAGAGAGCCTCACGCAGGCGTGAAGGGGGGCAGCACTTTCCCAGTACACTGGCCAAAGCCCACACGGTAGCCGTCCCCCTGGCAGTGCCCTGGAACAGAGGACAGAGGGGTCAGCCACAGAGCTGCTGGGCTCACCAGAACCAAGGCCCAGCCAGCCTCGGGCTTCTGAGTGCATAGCTGGGCCCAAGGCAGGAAGGTGCCATCAAATGACAAACATGCATTTTAAACAGAAGAATAACCCTCCCAGAAGCTGGTCGGAGCTGCTGTGACACTTAAGATGGGCTCCTGGGCCCACTCTGACTCCAGGATGCCCTCGATAGCTTTCCTAACAGTAGACAACTCTCCCAATGGGTTTGGGTTCAAATCCTGGGTCTTCCTGAGTTCAAAGTCTGGCTCCTCCACCTACTGACTCTGTGACCTTGGACTCCTCTTGATTTCAGTTTCCTCACCTGAAAAATGGATCTAAAAATAGGATCCACCATCTAGCAACTGTTCTGAGAATGATATGAGTTAATACACAGAAAAGTCTGAGAACAGTGCCTGGCCCACGGTAAATGACCAACGAATGCCAGCTATTATGTTGATTATGAGCTGGGTGACTGCAGACAACTTGTTTCTTCTGAGCTCAGCCTCGTCGTCTGCAAATGGGAATAACAATCCTTATCTCTCATGGTTGTGAGTAGTAGGTGAAATATGGAGGTGAAGCTCCCAACGTGGTATCTCACACATAGATGCTCAACAAATGTTAGCTTCATTCATTCAAGTCCATCTCAATTAAAGTCATGGAAAGGCAGAGAGGAGTAATAGCTCGCTGTTGTCCTTGAGGAGGGTCAATTTAGTGAGAGGGGCAGGTCTAGATGAGAGTTACAGGAGAAATGCCTACAGGTGCTGAGAGAGAAGTGTGGAGGAAAGCAGACAGCAGAAAGGAGGAAACATCTGAGCTGGGCTTTGATGGGTGTATAGGAGCTCACTAGAGAGGACTCAATGGAAAGCACATTCCAGGCAGAGGGAACAGTATGTGCAAAGACACGGGGATCCAGTGTGGGATGCATTTTTTAAAAAGGAGAGCTTCAGTGAGCTGTCATGAGGGTACTCTGGGAGTCAGACTACCGAGAACTTTATGAAACCATGTTAAGGAGTTTGAGCCTCATCCTGAGAACAATCAGATGGCACAGATTGGTTTTCAGCAAAACAGTGACACAATACAGCTATGTTTTAGAGATCCCTTTCTAGTGGCCCCGGTTAAAAGATGGATCAAAACAAATGGACTTATCAGTGTCATGTCAACATAGAGGCCCTCATGCTCCTCAGGTTGGAACACTTCTCCAGGGCCCCATGCATTGTTAAATCCAGATGAAGCGATGGCCAGGGCAGTGCCAAGAAGGTGGTGACAGGCCCACGATGGAAATGAGAGTCACTGCCTGGAAAGGCCATGATTTTCACTTACGTGGAAACACCACCAAGACCCTCTCACCTGCTGGAGACAAGCCACAATCTGGAGCTATGCCTTCAGCCACCCAATGTGAAAAGGGGTAAATGCTGACTCCAGCAACCAAGAGAAAGAAATCAAACCACCCTGCTGAGAAGAATCACAGCCATCTGGACATGGAGACCCAAGGCAGATTTGTGAGATGGAGTCAGCCACATCCTCAACAAGTGACATCCTCAACAAGCGACATCCTCAACAAATGAAAACCTCAACAAAACAAACGACATCCTCAACAATCGACATCCTCAACAAGTGACAGCATCAACAAGCGACAGCATCAACAAGTGACATCCTCAACAAGTGACATCCTCAACAAATGACATCCTCAACAAGCGACATCCTCAACAAATGACAGCATCAACAAATGACATCCTCAACAAGTGACAGCATCAACAAGCGACATCCTCAACAAGTAACATCCTCAACAAGTGACAACCTCAACAAGTGACATCCTCAACAAGCCCTCCCAGCCAGCACAGGGGAGAAATTCACTGGGGTGTTCCTTGTGGCTACTCCTCCCCATCCTCCCCCAGCAGCGATATGCCCAGTATGTGCTCTTTCCACCCTTCTCCCCACCATCCCAGTCATCTAAACGGTCCTCCCTGCTCAGGGCCACTCTGACCTCTGGACTTTTCTAGAAAGGCAGCATTTTAGACCCCACAGTAACATCTCCAGAGGTTTCAGTTCTAGTGCCCATCAAGTCCTGAACCACCCCCTCATCCTCCTGGCATCAGCACACTCATGCCAGCCTTCCTGGCTGAGGCTCATCCCTACGACCTATGCACTGACCTTCAACACTCAGGGACACCATTTGTCAAGGACAACATCCTTGCCTAGTCTATTTGCTCAGTTTCATTACTTTTCTGTCAGTCACTTTGGAATCTCAATGCTCAGAAAAAATAAATAAATCTATTAGAGCAAAACCAACTCCTGGCAGAAATTCATTAATCATCTATCAAAGTGACTAAGTCAGAACTGCAGCATTTTTAAAGACCCTTCTTCCTGGTATGCTGCAAACACTCCAGGAACGCTCAGCTCCCCACCCCACTGCCAGGTTCTCAATAAACAAACAAACAAAAAAAACCCATTGCCATCAAGTTGATTCCAGCTCACAGTGATGCTATAGCACAGAGTAGAATTGCCCCATGGGGTTTCCAAGGAGTGGCTGGTGGATTAGAATGGCCAACCTTTTGGTTAGCAGCCGAGCTCTTAACCACACCATCAGGGCTCCAATCAATCAGCCTTAACTCCTTTCTGCCCCTGGAGTTACAGCAGCACCGCTACTCACACAGAGACAGAACCTGCCTTCTTCCAGAATATGGACACACGATTACATCATTTCACTTCTCGACAAGCCAGCATGGTGGGCAAAGCTGGCCACCTTCTCCCTATTTCAAAGTTGGCATGGAAAACAGCCAGAAGCAGGTTTATCAACCTTGGTGCTAGTGACATTTGGGGCCAGATAATTCTTTATTGTGGGGACTGTCCTGTGCATTGGAGGAGGTTTAGCAGTATCCCTGACCTCCACCCACAAGATGCCAGTGGCATCCCCCTAGCTGTGACTATCAAAATTGTCTCCAGATGTTGGCAAATATCCCATGAAGGGAAAAACTGATCCTTGTTGAGAACTACTGGCCTGGAGGATAAAAGGAGCTGTTCCTCTACACCCACCTTCCAGCCCAGGGGAGGCAGGGAGGAGAAGCTAGGTGACAGGCACACTCATGGAGCGCTAGAGAGCCCAGAGAGGTAAGAATGCAAAGAAAGTCTGTAGCCTCCTCAGATCGTGTCACTTTAGTCCCAGACACAGGGCAAAATACCAGTCTCCTGCTTCCCTAGGCTGGGTTCTGTCAGCTTGGGAAATGAAAGGTAAAAACGTGGACACCTCCTCTGGAGTAGTTGGCCTGTCGACCTGCCCTCACTTGGCCTTGCCTGGAAACCACCCTCAGCCCACCCTCCACTCCATCCCACCAATGGAAATGAGAACCCATAGCAATAGCCATGCTTTCCAGCTTTCCCAAATGGCACCCCTAAGAGGGTACCAGGGGAGCGCCCTCACCCCACAGAGGCCCAGGAAGCCAGGCCTGAGCCAGGGACTTCTCTACCACGAGAGCTTCCAGGGAATCTCAACTGTATTACACTACAAAACAACATTCCTTTCCCAGGAAATAATCCAGAAAAGTAAGTGGAAAAGGCTCCAGTTTGCGGGGAGGTGAAGACTTTGCATCCCAAGAGAGCTGGACTGCATTCCAAGGCTGCCACCTGCCAGCTGTGTGATTCTGGCCCAGCTATTTAACCTCCAATGGCTCATCTAGAGATCAGAATAATAGCTATTGTGGGAATTAAATGAGATAATGCATCTAAAGTGATGAGCACGGTACCTAACACATGGTCAGTGCACCATAAATTGGGGTTGTGTTGCTGGTGTCCTCACCATGATTTTGTGTTTCAAATAGCTATAGGCTAGACTTCTAGTTCAGAAGACATGGGAATCTGGTTCTATATATTAACTCCTTCCTCCTCTTCTATTGCTAAGGAGTATAAATATAGGGAAAACGTCTGTATCAACACTGGAAACGAGAAGGACTCCTAAAGAAGATGGAACTTGTGCTGGGCCTTAGAAGACATGTAGGATGCGGAATGGGGGAAGAAGGCAGCAGCAACAGCAAATGCAGATACCTGGAGTTGGCAGTAAGTTCCCTGAGGATGGACAATACCTCCCCATCCAAAAGCTTGGCCAAGGTTGGATGCAGAAGCAGATACTATTGGTTGGGTTACATGGGGTGTGGGAAGAGTCAGAGTAGAGAGCCATAGCCTGAGTCTTTGGGGCCCCATGGAAGTAGTGTGGCTGACTTAATGGGGATGAGACGCCCTCCCATGGCCTCCATGGTCCTGGAAAAGAAGGGTTGCTGCTTCTATCCTCCTTTGACTCCTGGCCAGACTTGCCCAGGAATTCTGAACCAGGAAAGGGAAGTGGTAATGGTGGGAGAGGAAAAAAAAGGGGTAGACAGACAGACAGGCAGACCAGGCAGAGGATGGCACCATGGGGTGACTACAGGGAAAGAGAGGGGGGATTTTTGTCTTGCTATTGTTTCCAAGTAATTTTGGAGACCAAGAAAGAAGCCACAACTAACCACAACTATCAACATTAAAAATCTGAGAAGAGTGAGAAGTATACATATCAAGCTCACTGCTGTCGAGTCGACTCCGACTCCTGGCAACCCTATAGGACAGAACAGAACTGCTCCCATAGAGTTCCAAGGCAGTAATCTTTATGGAAACAGACTGCCACTCTTTGTCCCACGGAGCAGCTGGTGGGTTCGAACCACCTATCTTTCAGTTAGTAGCTGGGCGCTTAACCATTGCACCCCCAGGGGTCCTTTCAAGCAGTACCAAAAAACCAAAACCAAACCCACTGCCGACCAGTCGAATCCAACTTATAACGACCCTATAGGACAGAGTAGAACTGCTCCATAGGGTTTCCAAGGAGCAGCTGGTGGATTCAAACGGCCAACCTTTTAGTTAGCAGTCAAGCTCTTAACCACTACACCACCAGGGTTTCCTTCAGGTAGTACCACCAAAAACCTGTTGCCTTTGAGTCAG